TATTCTGCAAGTGTTTAGAAAAATGAAGTGGATATGTCATGAAGAGTAGCTCATGTTTCATAGTGAAGTAAAAAGGACAGGATACTGATTAATACTGTTAAAATTATGTATACCCATGCCTATAGAGGAAGACTAAAGTCTAGATGATAATTGACAAAATGTTTATAGAGATAATTTTTATTATGGCTGAGGAGAAAAAAATTTTTACTTGAGTGTATTTTTAAAAGTTTCTTTTTTCTATGAACATAGTTTTACCAAGAAAGGCCTAATGATAAAAAGTCTCTAGACACATTTAAAGTGTTTTTCATACAGACAGCAATAAAACAGCATCAGGTAGTGGTAGGAACATATTACATGAGGAAACAAAATACCTGGTGTTGTCCTGATTCTACTAGTAGTTGTATCACCCTGAACAAACATCTCAGTGGCAGTGTACTCAACTGTAAAATGGGGATAAAAATGGCTGCCTATCTGTCTCACCATGTTGTTGTGAAGATCAAGTAAAACAATGAGTATTTAAATGTTTTGAAAAATATAAAATACTATGAAAATGAATGATGGAATAATCAATATTATCACTTAAAACAGTTAAAAAGGTTGATCTCTTAACTGATTTTTGCAATATTATTCTCATGTAGTGAATATATACTTTATCATCCTGTTATATGTGTGATATTGTTCAATGTTAACACAGAAATGGTGACAGGGAATTCATATCTATAAACCTTTGTCCCAGAAGTCAGATTATAGCAAAACTCTAACCAAGTCAGTAGACAGATTAAGCAATTAATTATGTAATTTTCTCTGATGGACACCAAACAGTCCTACTACTGTCTTCTCTCTCCTTTAAACAGGCAATCAATCAAGGTGCCTGAAATTCTCACTTCAATCATTCATATACTCGGGATAAGAACCTAAAGCCTCCTATTAAAATACAAGGGTGAGTGAGTGTGTGTGTGTGTGTGTGTGAGAGAGAGAGAGAGAGAGAGAGGAAGAGAGAAACAGATTTTGGTAACACATTTTTATCACTTACTAATACTACTTTGAAAATTGGTTATTAGATTAGCCAGTGACTCCTCTAGCAAGAAGAATGGGATAAAGAGCCTATTCCTTTCTAAAATTTAAATATCTTTAAAGGTCTTGAGGCTGAGGAAGTGAGAGAGAAGAGGAGGGACTGGAGTATGAGGTCAGGCTTAGACCAAGAGAAGTGCTGTAGCAGGAAGCCTGGTTAAGAGGACAGTGAGACATTCCTTGTCATCTTTACAAGTGGTGTAGGTCTAGTCTAACTCTAAAAGTAATAGTAATATATTTGCCAAAATAATTACTATATATTTAATTCACTGATAAACCATAAAGCTTATCTTCTATTGAATAAAATCCCACTTACATATTTTTTGGAACTACCATAATATATAAATTCCCCTGAGAGTATCTCCTCTCTAGCTTAGCTATATAACATACAATTGGGAATTTTATGATTTTCCCTTCTCTTTTTCACTCGCACATGGGGACGCTTATCTAACTACACAACTCTTACCTCTCACTGTGGCACTAAGCTAATTAGAAAAGTCTCTTTAAATCTATCCACCTGTCTTTTGTTTTGCTGCCTAGCTGGGCCTTTTCCAAGCAGGCAGAAAATCTCCAATCAGTTATCACAACCAGAATGCAAGAGATTAGTGACCAGGAGAGAAGCAGCATCAGTTTACATCCTTTCAGGCAAGAGAATGATATTACTTCACTAGCAAGAAATCTGAGGCTCCCTGACCTTAATTTAGAAAACCTGCAGTTAATAATCACATTAAAGTTGGTTTTATATGCCAGTTTTTGTTTCCTTTGTTGTTTTTACAATTTGAGTGTCCTTTGTGGTTACCAAAATTATTTGCTGAAAGGCATATATTAACATTAAAATACTTATTCTATAATAAAATAGATCTTGTAGTTTTGATATATCTGAGTTAAAATATACTTTGAATTTTTTACAATGGCAATTACATTGCTTGTATTTTACCCAAAGTAGAATTTAGCAACTTGTGGATTAATACACTGAAAACTCCTTTTTTAAATGAGGAATAAAAATGGGTTTTTCATTGTAATCTGTCAACCCAAATAAAGGACATATAGATCCCTCCATGAGTATACTTTTTTTTTTAAAGATTTTATTTATTCATGAGAGACAGAGGGAGGGGGAGGGAGAGAGAGAGAGAGAGAGAAAGAAGCAGAGGGAGAAGCAAGCGCCCAAGGAGCAGGGAGCCCGATGCGGGACTCGATCCCAGGACCCTGGGATCATGACCTGAGCCGAAGGCAGACGCTTAACCATCTGGGCCACCCAGGCGCCCTCCGTGAGTATACTCTTACTGCTCCTCCAAAAAGGTCAATTGTTTCTTGAAGGAAAGAGAACTAAACCTGAAGTTAGAAAGTTAGCAAAACAAAAAAACAAACGGCTCAAGGAACAGATGTGCAGACCAGGAAGAATTGGTACAGGTGATCAGGTCAGGAAGCAGAGGTTCTGATGACAGCAAACTGAACTTGTTTTTTTCACCATAATTAAATACTTAATGAAAACAAATCTAATTAACGCCATAAGCCAAAAAGAAGTATAGGTGATCTAAAGTGTGGTCAACTTTCACTTAACATTTTACTAAAGGAACTGTATTAGCTGAACCCACTTCAGCTGCTTCACTGTAACTCATTGTGTGTTCACTAAAACAAGTTATCTGAGTCTTCAGACACCTGCTCTCTTTTATGTAGAGTGATTTGTGTGTGCATGTGCATGTGTGTGGGGTTACTGAAATGAATTGTGTAGTCCAGCTATGGACATGATGCTCACAGAATGAAAATACAGTGTATACGATGTACATAGAAGAAAAGTTACAAGGGCATTTCTTGGTGCCAAAAAAAGTTTAGGTTTACTAAATACTTATTTTCAAGGTACTTTTGGTATTATGAAAATAGACTATTTGGAGGAAAAAAGTCCCAAAAAGTCATGTTTGCTACTTCCATGGTAAAAGGAAAAAATGTCTACTGCAGACATGGATTCAGTTTCCCTTGGGTAAGTCTAGAAGAAAAACAACTGAAACACATGGGATGAATTTGCAAAAGTTTGAAAAGATATCTTTGCATATACCAAGACTGCACTAAGACTACTATATAATGTATAGGTTTTCTAGGTCTCTGATACTAACTAGCCCTATTCTCAAGGCTGTGTTGGTTACATCATGTATATTCTTAGCATACAAACTTTCATCTCTCTTTTTAAAAAAATATAAATTATATATTATATATAAATTATATTAAAAATATATAAATATAAAAATATTTAACCAGATTTTAATGACAATTTAAAATATTGCTTCTATTCAATTTCCTATCTGTCTTTGACATTATTTCTGAGGTCTCATAGAAATATTATTTAAAAAGTTAAAGGCAATGCTGCCCTTAAAGGAGACACTAAATTAATAAACTATTCTTTTCCATTAAAACTAAAACTTTTAGGGCCCTTTAACCAGTTTGTTTTATAACTCTCTAAAAATTATTTCGGTAATGTTTGTTAATCATATAGTAACAGTAGTTGTATCATTAGAGGGTCATAGCACTTAAAACATCAATAATCATGGAATATATTTAATTTGGTCAGATATTTACTGATAAGGCATTATTAACTTATCTTTTACAAGCAACCTAAAAACAAGGTTATAAAATGCACATCCCAGTAACATTCTTAGCAGAAGAAAAGGTATCCTTATGGTTCTTCAGTCACCTAAGGTGTCCTCATGAAACAGCAAAAAAAAAAAAAAAAAAGATACAAAGCTCTTTTCTCACAAGATGAGACTTTAACTTTGAAGCCAAAATAATGCAAAACATCATATAAAAATTCAAAAAATTCAAAAAGTAGTCTTTTAAATGTGATTTTTAAAAGACCTATATGATAGTAAAAACATCTATAATTTAAAATTCTCAAAGCAGTTCCTATCCAAGAAAAAATTGATAGTAATGTTTTGTAAGTTTGTTTCTAAATTAAAATGGAAGTTTATTATGAAAAATAACTTATAGCATTTATGAAACAAGCTGGATTTTTCTGGGGGGTATAGTTGTGTTAAGCATTTGGTAAGGTTTTAAAATTGTTCATTATCGAAAGACTCAAGGGTATACTAATAGAATTGAAGAGGACATGTGAATCTTTGCTTTCAAAGATTTTAGGTGTATAGGATTTACTTAAATTCAGTAAATAACTTATTTAGTAAAGAATATTTACTATCATTTATTAAAATAAGGCTCATATTGATAAATATAAAGATTTCTCTGAATTTCAAGTAAACATTTACTATTTTAGCACATGTCAGATACTGTGGTAGGTGCTTTAATATTCTCTGCCCTAAATTTCCTGAATAAAGTGTTAAAAACTTTCCAGGTAAATAGTCTTTAAATGTTAGATATAGCCAATCACTCATATATATATTCATTCACACACACACACACACACACACACATATATATTATATATTCGTTCCCGTATTATAATTTTTTTTGGTTAAACAACTTGTCAGAATGGATGGTAGGTACCATCCTTGAAATAAAAAGACATACGTAGGAACATTGCTGACTTAATTAATGCAAACCACCTGATTAAATACCTATAGCAATCTGTACTTCAATGTTAAAAAGATTCAGCTGAAATATAACTTCTTCTAATTCTGATCAGTGTGAGAACTATTTTCTCCACAGCTAAAGGGGTCACTTTAAACACAAAAACCAGCACTGTTTTCCGTGATTAGGTTACTGTAGCTTAAGTCTCTAAACACTAGAATTCCTCACACAGCTGTTAATTGTGGACCAGGGGACTGGCTGACATCTGCTTCTTGCTTATTTCATTAATGGTTCACTTCCAGGTCCTAAAAGCCTTTCTCCAAAGAGAATGTCGGATGCATCTATGTCTGTCTTCTACATAGTTGGCTTGTTCTGGTTTGTCACTCTCCATACAATGCAAATCTGAGTGAACTCACATCTGTCACCGATCGACCCAATTCGTGGGCAATCTTTTCCCATCGACCTGGGGTCCCTCCTGGGAACTTAACCATACTTCTTGTCAGCTGGCTGAGGTCCTCTTCTGTCCATTCAGATGCCTGCAAAAATTACAGAAAAAGATAATTTAGAGAATGTTCGCTAAAACATTTAATAAGCCTGTGAAACAAACTATGGGCAATTTGCTTTCTACAAAAACAATACTATTAACATGTATCCAATAGTTTAGATAAAGTTTAAGCTGCATATTTAACATAAGAATGCAAAGCTCCAGCGCAGCCTTTTAAATTTTCCTATGAATACTAAATAAGCAGAAATATTGTGAGGCCAGGCTTTTGAAGACATTAAAAAAAAAAAAAATCCGGTTTGCATTAAGTGAGGAACCACTCTCCAAGCCTATGAAATGCCTTGTGTGTCACCCTGCTCTCACAGATGCCTCCTATGAGGTTACTATAAAAGGTCTTCAAAGTTTTAAGAAAAATTATACTTTAAAGAAAACAAAACATCTTATAAGTAAAAATGAAAATGTAAACAAGTAAATGTACTGCTTTAGAATCAATCAGAACTGAAACAAAGAGATACTTTTTGTTCATTCTGTGTAACAAGATTTAACGGTAAAAAATCATGTATTTTCAAGAAGTTTAACTTATCAAATGTTAGCATTTTATAAAACTTGGAACAGAGAATTAGAAATGCCTATAACCAAGACTTAAACTGTCCAGTCCATGCAAAGCAAAACTTCATTTTTGAGAAGATAAATAGCCTCTAAAAGTTGATCTAATTGTTAAACTGAATGAAAAAAATACCTTTAAGATTATAAAATCTTTTTTGCAAAAGCAAACATTCTAAGAGCAAGCATATTCTCTGCATTTTATTTAGCACTACTACTTGGTCAAACCCAGAGCTGAGCAAAGCAAAGAAACTATTATTTAATAACAAATAACCATGTTACAATAATTTTGCACTAAACTGTTGCCTACCAGAGGCGACAGCCACTCTGGTATTGAACAATACTCTAGGAGTCAGCAGAGGAATGGAGGAAGCCCACCTGATTTTCTTTAATTAAAAAGAAAGAAAAAAGGAAAGAAGGAAACCTTTGAGACAAATACCTTTTCTAATCACCATTTCCGATAATGAACAGGCATACATCAGGCCGTTTGCATTACAGAACCATCAGCACAGAACAACAGTCAGAGGTGAGTGACCCCAGGGACTATCTCCACAGCTACAGCAAAGCTTCTCCCTGACACTAATCCTCCCTGTCATTCTCCCACTGTGCTCTAAGCACACTGACATCCGCCTGCCTCACTGCAAGCTTAACGGGGCCCTTCCTGACTTTTTACTGTCTCCCCCAATCAATGGTTCAAGCATGCTCTTTTCACATGTCCAAATGGCAGCTTCACTCATAATCAAAGTGCACTGCCCCTGTTAAAGGGCTTTCCGAAAGGCTCTCCCATTTGCATTCATTTGCAAAGCAAACTACTTTTATTCACTTTGTTCTGCTATCAAGAATGTTCCCTGAAGCAGATAAATTGGCATAAATACAACCTGCCACTTAAGAGTCAGTAAATAATAGCCAATAGCAGGGAGGATTTTATCAATCATTCTATTTTGTATCCACTAAAAGCTGAAAGCCTCAAACATATTCATCAGTACAGCCCGTACGATACATGCATCAATTCACTTCTATAAAAAGGTAGCCTCCATAGGGTATGGCCAGAATTTCTTTGATATTTAATGAATATCAAAAATCTAATGCTCCATATCCGATGATTTGAAAATTTACACAGGTTTTTTCTTTTTACTTAGGGGAGAATTTATTATTCAGACATTAGAGGGACATAAGTGATTTCCAAGGAAATACTTTAATTTCTAAAAAAGCTGAAACTTTAAGAACTATACCAGTTGGCTTCAGAAATGCAAAAGAGTTAAGAATTTAAGTTTAAGGTAAAAGTCATACCATGAAGAGCATTAGGCTGACACTGCTGAGAGATACAGTATTTAAACTATATCGTGTAACAATGCAACTTCACATTAAATCAAGTCATCTTATCTCTGTATTAATCATACAGATTTTTTAAGCAAAGTTGTCTAAATATCAATACTATGAAGCGATTGTTTCACATAGTAAACTAATTCTTTAAAATAATTCTATTTTTAACCAACTGGCTTTCCAAATATGCTGCATACATGAATAACGGGCATTAAAAATCAATCAGATTTTAATTCTTTGTTAATGAGTCTTAAAGTACAGTGCCACTTTTTTTCTGGGAAGGAAAAATTTTAAGCATTTGGACTGATATTCTGAAAAAGCATCTATTATGACAATCTTTCCTTTTAGCTTCATAGTTATTTCATGGCTGTGATTTTCATTATTAATATTTAAAAAAAACTGTGTTGATAATAACTAGGCCCATAATCTGAAATCTTTGAAAGAATCCTTTTAGCAATTCATTATTCTCTCTCCTACAGCTGTAGGGCACTTTGGTGAATGTGTGATTCCTCAGCAATAGTTAGTTGTGTCTTTAGAAGCAACAGAGCCCACTGTGATCCAGCTACTACAGCCGCCATGAGGGTGGCCACGGTGTGAATGTATTCTCCTTGTTCTAATCTGGAGCCAACTGTAGCTGTGAAAGTCTGATGAATGCATAAACATACTGCTTTGCCACTTAAAACCATGTGTGTCCAATATTACTGAGACACCGGGCCAAAAATTCATCTCTACAGTAAAGTAATGGAAGACACCACATGGTGTGGGGACAGCTGTTGTGACTACACAAGCATTCCAATTTTGCATCAGAAAAGCCCCACTCTGGGAATAAATCTCCATACTGAATAAAAAATAAAAAGTCAGTTTTCAAATTATTCAATATTTTTATGTAATGACCTCAAAATATATCTACTAAAGCAAGAGCTGATAAGAAAATTTAAATTGCATTCCCAAATAACATCCCTTTGGGATAGATTTTTGTCATAAAACCACATGTGTTCAAAGATTCGATGCCTTTGAAAATCCTTACTATTCTTGGGGGAGAGGAGTTGGAGGCTGTACGGGAAAGCACACTCTATTTTTTGAGTAACCTATACATACCTCCCCCCTCACAGCTGTAGACCATAAAATTGTTAATTACTAAGTATCATGCAATTTATTAGGTACCGAAAACTTATGGCCAAATTAGAAGAAATTTTATATGTATTTATTATATTTAAAGGCAAAAGGTCCATTTCTATCTGATAGATCTTGAAGCTCCTTAATGAATATTTCTATTGAAATGACCTACTAGTGATCATTATTTTATATAATTACAAAAGTAACAATTTCGGATTCAACAATTTTCAGTAGATTCAGCTCAACTCAAATTCTCAGAAATTTTATTTAAGAAATAATGTCCTTGCAAATAGCATCACCCACTTAAAATATCAGATATACCAGATATATCTAATAATGTATACCTAATAATGTGGATGGTATATCTAATAATCTGCTACTTTCCAAATCCATGTTCTATACTGATTTTGTGTTTCAGAATGTATATTTGATGTTCACCTCTACAGTTTTCCTTTCCAATTTAAAAACAGAGCAGTTAAATGCCCTTGACTATATATATGGATAAATTGTATGTAAAGACAACCAAACAACAAAATTTTAAAAAATCACTTCAAATGTCTTTTCACTCTCAGGAGGAGACACTCTTCTTTAAAGAAAGTCTTGTAACTTCTCTCAAACTGTTCTAAGGTTGTGACCCTTCAGCAGCAAACACTTCATGTTGTGCCCAGAAAGGTCTTCTCATCTATGAGTTAGCTACCTTCCCAAAAAGAGAGGTCTCCTCTGGACCAGTGACCCTAAAGTGTGGTCCATGGGCTGGTGCCAATCTGCCAATGGTTTGTTACCCATCTGTGACAAAGTGAGTCCAGAAACTTGAAGTAAGGGTTAGAACCAGCAAATTAAAACTGCCACGACAAAGTATGTGAGCAATAAACTCTTCTTTTAAACAGAATATAAGCCAGTGAGATGTCAAACTACCATGGTGGGTCACATTAAGTGTGAACTGCATTCTTGTTAGGCACAGTAGGACTACAGATTGGTCAGCAACAGATGGAAATAAAAATATTCTAATCCAGGGCACCTGGGTGGCTCAGTGGGTTAAGTGACTGACTCTTGATTTCAGCTCAGGTCATGATCTCATGGGTCATGAGACTGGGGCCCACACTGGGCTCCATGCTTGAGATTTTTCTCCCTCTCTACTCCCTCCCCCAACTCGTGTGCTCTCCACCCCCTACTCTCTCTCTTAAAAGAAATATTTTAAACCTGGTTCTTTACTACAGATAGTTTGAGAAACTTTGCTCAAGACAGTGCATGTAGTTCAAATTCCTTTTTACTTCCTCTTTGGGGAGCAACAGTAAATAACCCCACCCCCCGGAGAAATGGACACAAGGATGTTTGATCCATTCCTTTAAAAAGTATTTTATGCCACTAAGTGTTGTGGTGATTTGATACACAGTAAAATACAATACAGCAAGATTACCCTGAGATAGGAAACGGTAAATTGTAAAGGGCTTGAGGTGGAAACATGTCTAGGATGTCTGAGCGATAATGAGATGACCAGGGTAGCTGCAGCAAAGCAAGCAAGGGGGGCGGGCAGGGAGAGGAGATGAGGCCAGGGAGGTAAGAAGGTAAAATCACATAAGGACTTCGAGGCCACTGCAAGGATTCTGGCTCCTTTATTCTGTGTGACACATAAAGCTACTGGAGGGATTTTTTTTTTTTTTTTTTACGATTTATATGAGAGAGAGAGAGAGAGAGAGAGTGAGCGTGAGCATGCCACGGGGGTGGGAGGATAGGATCAGAGAAACTCAAGCAGATTCCCCAGTGAGTGTGGAGCCCGTTGTGGGGCTTTGAGCCCATGACCCTAAGATCATGACCTGAGCTGAAGGCAGATGCTTCAAGAATCTGAACCACCCAGGTGTCCCTGTAGGGATTTTTTTTTTAATTGAGGTATAATTACATACAACATTACATTAGTTTCAGATGTACAACATGATTTGATATTTGTATATATATAGTTGACCCTTATTTAAACAACATGGGTTTGAACTGCAT